TGCCAGCATACCAGGCACAAGCTTTAACTATAGGGCATGAAAAAATGCGTTATTAAAAAATGTAGCAGCAAGTGGAACTGCAAAACTTGTGACCATCAAGTACCTTGGATGCTTCTTAACAGTAGCTAAAGGATATCACAGCACCAGTGAATGGTTACAGCATACAACCAGTAAAGCTCCAAACCTTGCCTCTATCACATGCTCCAGTAAGTAGATGACATAAGGAAAAAAAAATCAATAGTAAAAATATACTCCACCCACGTGTGTTTGAGGTTCCAGCTGACACTCCTTTGTTATCATTCAGAATTGATCTCAGTGAGTTGGATCAGGAAAAGGAACAGGTAGAAAAGTGACCTCACAAAAATTTAGTCTTTTTCTGACTTTGAAACTCCTTGAACTGGCTCACTACGGAACCAGATGAATGCCAGGTACAACTGCAAACGGGATGCAGAAATAATCTTTGAGGTCACAGCTCACCATTGCCTGGTTTGGGGATGTAGTCTGATCCCCAGCTAAGCCTCCCTCCAACCTCAGCCAAGACTTTACAGACATTTTCCTCCTATATGGGAAAATACCAGTCAAACACAATGGGGTTTCCTCCTAATGCTCTTCTGCCATCCTTCCTGCTCCGCACCAGGACAAATTGATGGAAAAAACTCTTGCTTCAAGTCATACAATCCAATCAGTTAAAAAATTAAAGTTTTCAGCAACTGAGACCCATTTTCCACACACTCACACCATCAAGGCAATTGTGCAGTAAAGGAATGGGCCAGCAAGGATGCAGGGGCTGCTTATGTTCCAGCTGCTACTGAAACAGGTTTCTTTCTACAGAACTGGGGCTTCACTGCCACTTAATCCCACGGCAACAGGCTGAAGTGGCTCTTTTTTCAGTCATCTCCTGAAAGGTGCAAATGAGTGAAAAAAAGGAATTCCCTAAAAAGAAAAAAAAAAAAAAAAGGCAACTAAATTAATGTAAGGGGGAGAACACACTCTTACAAGCTGGTGAACCACACTTTTGTCCTGATTTATAATCACAGAAGCGTTAGGGTTTGGAAGGGACCTCTGGAGATCCTCAAGTCCAACACCCCCCATCAAGGCAGCATCGCCAATAATGTTTCACACAGCATTTAAATGCTCCATGAAATCAACCAGAAGTTGCAACAAGAGCAAAAGGAATCCCTGTCATTAAAAGCTTATGAATGCATGCAAGCAACAAATTATTAAATGCTAGTATGTTGAAACAATACTGGCCCCAAAACTAAGTTCCCCAGTCTGCACAAATCTCTGCAGGCACTGTGGCAAATGAGTGTTGAAACTCCCCAATACTGAGGCAGATTCAAAGATACTCAGAATTAATTTCTTGAAGCATGAACAGAATCAGTAGCAAAGCACACGTGTGCTCATATAAAAATGTATTTCTCGTAAAGCAGAAACAGAAGCTAAACCAGACATTTAGAAGTGGGAGTTTCATCTCTCTTTTAAGTGGACTTGGCTGTGGATGAGGCTGTGACAAGAAGTGAAGACAGAGAGGCAGCCAAAGTTTGATGCAACACAGGGGAAGGCAGCACGGGGAGGGTGGGCAGTCAGAGAAGACCAAAGTGTCAAGCTATAATAATCTCTAACAGCAGCATTCTGAATGCATAAAATACCTTCTGATAAAGACAGATTAGTCAGGGTAATTCAAATGTCACGGTTGATGCCACAGCAGTTGACTAACAGTTGATTAAGTAATTTCTGGTTAAAGTTTTTCATACTTCATAAAACACTAAGATCTGGGAAACCTTGGAAAGAAGTCCTGAACTTCAAGTAACTTTTTTTATCAGTGGACACTTTGGAAGAACTTGCACCCTCCAACTTGTTATAACCACTGCCCAACAGATGAAGCATACCAGGTTTAGCAATTAAGAGACTGTGAGAGGAATGATCATTAAACTCCTGTGGTAGTCAAATTTCTCCTAATTTAAGCTTCTGTAAGATCCTCTTGCATGCATAAAAACATGAACAGGCTTAAGTTCCTTATTATACTTATTTGACAAAGTGTATTAGCCACCAAATACTAACTTCCCATGCCTGCATTAGGTTCTACCCTGCATGCATGTTACTGGAATTACTTTTGCAAGCTTAATAATAGGGCAAAACCCACAAACTTTTCCTGAAGCTTACCAGAACTTCAATTCTATTTAAAAGCTTACTATTCTATTAGTAAAGCATCACATAGTGCAGAATTTCAATTACTATTGTAAACAAAAAAAATTAAAATGCACAAAAAAACCTATAAAACTCACTACAAGGTAGCAATAAAAGATATTCCTATAGACTAAAGAAATTCCTGCCTAGTTATTTACCTTAAAACTCTACTCAAATTCTTATCCTCAACTGAGGCATTTAGATGTCCAGCATTACTGTTTTGTGAAACATATCTTCTCAAGGTTAAAGTGATCACCATGTATGTAATCATATTTTTAATACCTATACAAAGATAGATGCTAACCTCGCTATGTTAATATTTCAGGAATTGAAAATTCGTGTTCTGACGTTACCCATTTTTACAAGTTTAACAGCTTTAGGTCACCACCTTATTTGTTAAATCAAGATCAGGAGTCTGGCACCTGTACTTGTTCTTGGTCTTATAAAACCCTACACAAATGTGAATTTGCATCAGAGACCATTTTCTTTATAACCAGGAAGATGGAACCACACCACAGGATGTGATGCTCAACATGCAGAGCCGGGTGAAGGAGGAAGTGAGGACAATTGGAGTGATGATGTTTGTCTTCCCAAGTCACCTCTGCATGTGATGGGGTTCCTGCTCTCCTGGAGATGGCTGAACACCTGCCTGACCATGGAAGTACTGAATGAATTCCTTATTTTGCTTTGCTTGCATGCATGGATTTTGCTTTCCCCATTAGACTGTCTTCGTTTCTACCCACAAGTTCCCTCACTTTTACCCTTCCAGTTCTCTTCCCCATCCCTGCACAAGGGGAGGGAGTGACCATTTGGGTGGTCCTTAGTTTCCTGCTAGGGTTAAACAACGAAAGCCACAAACCCAGTAAAGATTTCAGCACCTAGACAATCCTTCACTGCCAACAGCTTTCACCCAACTGCACAAAAAATAGCTTCCTCTAAGTGTGGTCCATATGGAAAACAGGTACTTACTGACATCTGTTCCCTCAGTGAAGGAAGTCTCGTCTATCTGGTGCACAGACCCAGAAATATTAACCCAATCTGACTGGCATCAACACAAGCAAGCCTAGAGGATGTATCATCTCCTACGATTTCCATATTATTCAATTATTTCCTTCAGAGGACTGTGTCTTTTAGGGTAGAGTCATCCAAATAACTGTACAAAAGATGTATCTGTGTTTTGACTGGGAGTATTACTTTATTTACAAAGTTATCCAACTTCACACTGAGGTCTGAAGACACCTGTATCCTTCAGTAGGACTAAATCGTAAAATTTTGTTCTAGCTTGATGTTTCCTCATATATTAATTATTCCTGGTTTTTTTAGTATTACAGCCTTTGATTTCCTAGCAATGATTCAGCTCAATCACAGTGCGTATGGTTCTAGTCACAGCAGGCTTTTTTCAAAGCTTTTGTTACGTGAAGTGTTTCAATATAAATGTTGATTACTGACCCTGTCAGCTAAATACTGATAACTCACAGCTCTTACAAAGCATCTGTCTTGTTTCTAATTCTGCTTAGGGAAACAGAGTTTATGTGGAACTACCTCTTCCCTTTCATGCAGGGGATCAGAGTTCACCATTCCATTATAGATACAGAATTTTGATCCCATGACTAATTTCCCAAAACCATGGTGACATCAACACGGTAACATTAACATTTCAACAGGAAATAAAAACTGGCCTTTTGACACCGCTGATACACATGTTACCCTGAACCTCACCATAGGTGTTTTGTCACCTTTTGTAGTTTCACACAAGTTTGGGTCAACTTTAGTGGAAACTTCCTTTTTTTTTTTAACAATATGTTTAGGAAACACTGACATGGCAGCCAAGTTCGTTACAGGAACTAAATAACACCTAATATTTGAATTGAAAAACATTCACCTACATTTTAGTAGCCCTGGCACGCTTGCTTTGGTTTGAATGCTTTTTGGGTTTCGTCGGTTGCCTTTTTGTTTGTTTGTTTGAGAATACCTACTCCTTTGTTTTCTTTCCCCACGAAAACTGAACGAGCTCAAGTCCACTCAATTCAACTCCTTCCGTCTCGGAATCAGATTCTCTCTGGTTTCCTCCGCACAGTTCAACCCCGGCCATCGGGGTCTGGACGACCGCATTCGGGGGTCTCTGTGGGAGCCACCCAGAGGGCAAAAACAGAACCGGCGTGGGTGCTGGAGGTCTTCCACACGCATGGCCGGGGTTTGAATTTAAATCCCTGTGGGGTTTTTCTGTTTGTTTGTTTGTTTGGGTTTTTTTCTCTTTTCACCACCGTGTTCCCGGTGCGGCGCCGCCGTCCTGCGGGGAGCGACGGCGGGCGGGCACCGCGACAGGGGACTCTCAGGGGGAAGCAGGAGAAGGGGAGGGGGCGGCAGGAGATGGAGCTCGGCAGCAGCAGCAGCAGCAGCTCCGCGGGCGGGCGGGCGGCGAACAAAGCCCAGGTCAGCTCAGCGGCGCGGCCCCGCCGACAGCGCCCGCACCGCGCCCCGGGCACCGCCGCGGGCGGGCAGGGCACAGGGGCTGCCGAGGGAACACACACACGACGGAGACCCCTGCACACGCCACGGAGACCCTCCCCTCACACACACACACACACACACAGAGATACACGCGATGGAGACCCACACAGGCGCAGGGGCGGAGGTGCCGCGCACCCCGGGCGGGCAGCAGCCCCCTGGCCCCGCGCCGCCTTCCCCCAACCCCACAGAGCCGCCGCCCCCCCCACTCCCCTCTCGCCTTCCTTCTCTCTCTCTCCCTCCTTCCCATCCTCTCTCCGTCCTTTCCCTCCCCTTCGGCGCCCTCCCCTTCCACCTGCGCCCACCTGCGGAGCAGAGCAGCACGACGGCCACCCCGAGCAGCAGCAGCAGCGGCCGCCGCGGCGGCTCCACGGGCTCCATGTCGCGGGCGGGAGCGGCGGGCACCGCGCTCCGTGCGCTCCGTCCCCGGGCTCCCGGCGGGCACCTCCCCGCGCCGCCCAGCAGGTGAATCAGCCCGGGCCGTCACTTCCGGCCGGTCCCCGCCCCGCCGCGCCCCCCGCGGCCGCTTCGCAGCGCCCGCCCCGCTGGCGGCACCTGCGGCCGCTCCGGGGCCGCCCGCACCCCGTGCCCGCTCCCCGCCGGGGCTCCCCGCCGGCCCCCCGCGCTCCCCGCCCGCACCGACGGGGCTTCGCTTCGCCCTGCGCGGCCGGAGCTCCCCCTGCGAGCGCGGCCCGCGGTGTCCGGAGCGCTGCCTCGGGGTTGCGGAGGGCACCGCGCCGCTCCCGTCGGCGGGCGGTGGTTTGTGTGTGTGTGTGTGTGTGTGTGGGTGTGGGTGTGGGTGGGTGTCCGTGTCCCCCGCCGAAGCGACTTGTGCCGGTCCCCATGGCAACGCCGCTGCGGTAGCGCCTTGTGCTCCCCTTGTGCGGCGCACACGCCTTCCCGCTGAAAGATCTGGAACTGCGGATATCTGGCCAAAGGAGAGACAAAAGGGAGGCGAGGGGGTTCGCGGAAAAGGGTGAAAATCGGGCTTGGCAGCCCCAGCAGATCCCCCCACCAAAAACCCCCGCGGTCTGTGCTCCACGCACAGCCAAAGCATCAGTCGCGTTTCTCAGGAGACAAAGACGACTTACCGAGGTTTATTCTCTGTGAATTTATTGCCATGCATATATTACTAAACGCTGCAATAGCACAGCTGTTCACTGAAATAAATGTGTTTCTGACACTTACAGAGGGCTAAGTTGTGTTGGTACCATGCCCTTTGTTAAGTCCATGCTCTGTTAAGAAGTCCCCACAACCAAATATTTACACAAATGCAAAAGCTGTGCAGTCCAGATTTGCATTCCAAACAAATTCTGAAAGGTGTTACTGTTTTTTTTTTATTTTTCTGTGATGTCCATAATAAATAAAGTTCAAATACATTTTTATCTGATTATGCTCCGTATGTACGAGGTAAGGGTTTAAAAACAAAATTTCTTTCTGGCCTTATTGAAAATAATAAAATTAAGTGGATATCATATACTCATGGGGGTTTTTCCGAAACACTTAGCTAAAAAGGAGGTGCTATACCTTTCATTCAGTAAAGAATTCCTAGTGATGACATCAGCAGTGTCTCCATTTCTACTGGAATTGTGAATATATGAACGTGCACTGACGTCTTTCAAAATGGTTGGTTTCTCTGAGTAAAGAAACAGCTTTTACCTGCCAGCTCAGAATTAGGTTTTTGATAAGTAGGGCAAATTCATTGTCATTTTCCATGAAGGTTCGGATAAGTAGCGCTTACATCTTGTAAGGACATGACAATTCACAGTGTCTGTTAGATCTCCTTTTAAAAACAAATCTATCCAGTAAGATGATGGATACTATACATAAAGCACAGAATTTTTATTTGGGAGATTTCAAGCATTTCATTTAATGACAGAACTACCTTTTCCTTCTTTGAAGAAAAAAAAATAATATAATCTGAAGCTAAAGGAAGCAGAACCTCAACGTATTTGTTTGCTTTTTATTAAGAATTCGTTTACTTCTCTTATTTTATATGTGCTGCAGACTTGTGTTTTTAAGAGTAATCTGACTCGAGTATCCCAGGCTGACTGGCTGAGTGAGGTTTTTTGCTGTACATCCACTTGTGTCAACAGAGAAATTATATACCATGGAAAGTATAATGAGGCAATCACAGTCATTACAGAAAGAGAAAATGATTCGTCATTAGAATGGAGCTGCTCGCCCTCCTGTGAAACAAATCCTAGCAAGTAATTAAAATTAATACTGTACTGCATCTAGAAGACATGAGCTCCACATTTTGTCTAGCCTAGACAGACTATTCCTGGTCTCATTTAAATCAAAAGCAACACCGATGCAGTCATGTTCACGCTCCTGAAAATTGTTCACACTCCTGCAAATGAAGAGTACAATGTTTAATAACTATTTTTAAAAAGCAAAAAAAAACCCTTCTTCCACACTACAAACATTGGTCCAGCTAAAAAGACATAAAGCCACCAGATTTATTAAAGGATGTGACATTCTGTACATTTTGAGTGACCTGTACTTCCTGGAACACTGAACACAATGAGGGAAAGAGAGAACTGTGAAAATGACCACTCACAAATGGAAAGGTCAGGCTCAAAACTCTATGAACTGATTTCTACTAGTGCCAGCATATTGAACTAAGCCCAAAAAAGGCTCCAGGGTGAAGGCAGAATCCAGCCAACAAAAAAAAGATATCCACCAGAGCAGAGGTCTGCAATCCAGACCCATGGTTTGCAAATGAATAATTATTTAGTATATTTAGTGTTAAGAAAAACTTTGGTATTACCCCTCCATCAGTCTCAACCTAAACTTACAGACAGCTTGAAATAAAATATAAAAGCAATATAATATTTCCTAAATTTTTTTTTACTTATTTTTTAAATGAAAAGCATAAATTCAGAAGTAATTTTATAATGAATTTACAAAATGGTGTTGTGGGAGTGTTTGATATAGCCAGAATTAAACTTTTCAGAATCTGAATAAAATTGTTTGCATAGCTCTGCAACTAGCCTCTCCTTTTCTAAGAGAAATTACCTACCAACTTCAGTTGTTGAAGAATTTGCATTCCTTGCTTTGAAAATGCTTCCTTATCTGCCTGATCTTCTACAAAGTGAAATTACTATTGATTTAGTTTTTTGAGGTGAAAGTGTATGACATAGTGAAGTTACTGATGGACTAAACTTACAGAAGCAATGAAATGGAAATCATCCATGCTTGTGTTACACAGATCACACAGGACATAACTGTGCCCCACAAGGAAAACAGGCTGATTTTGTGTTCCTGTCCTGTACAAGAGTGAGCTGCTGTGGTCAGACACTTCAGTTCCCGAGACAAAATTCCCCACAAGACTGTTACAGTTCCTAACATGGATAACAACATGCCTCAAGACGGGCAAGAGAAAAAAATAGGGGAGATTAAGAGAAGGAGTAAACACTATCCTTAGGACTTTGGATCTGGAACTCTGCTTTGGGTCTGGAATTCTACTTGGAGGGAGTCACTGCATTTTTTCTCTGGGACACATCTTCTGGATCAGCAAACTCCATTGCTTTACTCTGTAATTCAGGCCAGGGTCAGTACAAGGGAGGACACGGGTTTATTTGGCCAGGAGAGGGGGAGTGGGTAGGAGGGATCATTTCTGTTCAGCAGTTGCAGGATGCTGGTGTTTCACGCGAATCCACCTGGAGTTTGGTCATTTAAACTGGAGGTGCCACAGTCCTGCTCCTCCCAGATCCAAAACTCCCACGTGTGTTCTTACGCTGCCATGGGAGCTCAGGACACTAGCAGATGAGATAGTTTGGGAAGCCAGGCTGGCCAAAGATGAAGACCTTTTGTTTTCAGCCGCCTGAGCTCCCTGAACTGTTTTTCTGCTTATTTGCCTGAGTGCCAGCTGGCATTAAAAAAACAAAAACAAAACAAAACACACACAAACAAATGAGGGCTGGGTGGCAGGGAAAGGGCAGGACTGTGAATCGGTTTAAGTTGGCACCAGATCTAGAGCGGTGTGAAGGGAAAGGTCTAGCTTGTGCACCCATTTTTTTCCAAAATAATTTTGGCAATGCTTATACTGGCATCCGTGCCCTGATGTGAGGAACGAGCACTTGTTGTACTAAGCTATCTGTCCCTATCAGCATTAGTTAACCCAGCCCAGGGCGAGTCAAGCTGATATGCTGAAAATAGCTGCCAAAGTCAAGAGATAGTCCACATTAAGGTCTCATCACCTTGGGGAGATTACAGCAAAGGATTTTAGAATGCAAAGTTACAGAGCGCTAAGCATTTCATAATAAAACTTGGAGTGCAGGCTCTCATGTTATGTCTCAGCTGGCAGAGCCCGGAGCAGCGTCCAAATCCCTAGAGAAGCCTTCCAGCCTCCCCACTGGGACAGGTCCAGCGAGGGTTCTCCCCCGCCTTGCTCACCTCAGCTTCCCCACGGAGCACAGCCCGGTGATGCCTTGGAGGAGTCACGAATCTGCACGCCCGGGGTGATGGGATGACCGTGTTCTGCCTTTTTCTTTAACAACCTTGGGCCGCTTCCAATTAAGCTTTCATGCACTTACAGCCTTTTTATAATGATAACTAAACACAATCCATTACTGGGGGAAATAAGAAGTAAAGGAAAATTTATCCAACAATAGCTGACGTTTAATTGTCTTTAATTTGGGTTAATGTTTTTCAGAGATGATTTGTTCAGAGTTAAAATCACAGCTTTCACGTTTAGCACCTCAATCAAGTGACAGTTGCTCTCAGGGTAAAATTCACACCTTCCTGTGCTCCTCTTTCTGGAGAGACAATTTTTAGCAAAGACCTTTTTAAAGGGCAGCAATTTACACCTTTGTCTCCCTACGATATTAAAGCTTAGAAATATAATTTGCCTTGAACAATTTTCTCTCAGGGGTTACTTGAGTGTTTGCATCATTTTAATGCAGAAACAGCAGAAAGAAGAAAGAGCAGTCCCCTACCAATGGTGGTTAGAGTTGACCCAAACATAGAGTTTTATATTTGTGTGGTGAAAGGGAAGAAAAATCCATGCAATATGAACTAGATTTGGTTTGTTTGAAGTCCAGAGGAGGAGTACATGGTGTGATTCATCTGTATAGAAATATGGGTGCTACGCATTTTTTGTTAATTATAGATTGGAGTTTTATTTGTAATTCCAACTTTCACTGTATATGCTCATGACAGTAAAAGTGCAACGTCTGTTGGCTGGAACATTAATACAATAGACAATACAGACATGTCCTGTTGCAAAATGGTTTTCTGAGCTTATATTCACCACAGTGACAGCTCGATTGAAGAAATCTTCTCTTAAAAGGAGAAATAGATGTGATGAGGAAGTGCATCTTTAGCAGCTGATCTGAAGATTTTTGGTTTGAACCCATTACTGCTTCTCCTGTCACTACAGTTCCTGACGAAGAATCCATCTCCAGTTTCCTTTCAGCTCCCCTTCTACTGGA